ACAGACAGACAGACAGACAGACAGACAGACAGACAGACAGACAGACAGACAGACATACAGACACTCACATACCTACCTACCTACTACTATAGCGACTTAACTCGACAACGCCATATTTCGTCATAGAAGATTTATGGTCAAATATAAATACATAGTATATGACACGTTGTACAAATGACATAATGCCCATCATTCATCTGTAGCCACACCCACCACCCCATTTTAAATCACGCCTCCTTTTTTTTCAGCAACACCTTCAACAATTTCTGCAGCCCCTTTTATAACCACGCCCAGCTCTTCAGCAACCACGCCCATCATCACTACAGCAACCACGCCCACCCCTTCAGCAGCTACGCCCCCCCACCCCCATCATTTCATCAACCACGCCCCTCCCCTTCGGCAACGACGCCCACCGCTCCTTCAGTAAACACGCCCACCGCCCATTCTGCAGCCGCACGTACCTCCTTGATGTTCTCCACGATCTCAGTCTGAGCTCCGATGTCCATGGCCATGATCCTGTCGATGAACGCCTCCTTCTGCTCACACTGCACGGCGCAGCCCAGGATCAGGAGGAGGGCCTTGCGTATCTCGGCAAAGCTCAGATCTACAAATAACACCGAAAAGAATGTGATTTAGTTTTCCAAACAGTTGTAGTAAGAATTGTTAAGGCACTTGCAACATAATAAGGTCAACATAAAAGTTACGAAGACAAGAGGTGTTACATAACAGTAACAAACAAAGAAAAGAAGGAGGAATGAGGTGTTACTAGAGAGTAAAATACATAGAAAAGGAGGGGAGGTAAGGACGAGACTTGTTTGATGAGAAAGAAGGAGAGAACCACACCAAAGCATCCGCCCACTACCCAAAGAAAAGAAACGAAAAGAAACGGCGAAGGGCTGATTGATAGAAAATTAATCGAGTAGAAGTTAAAGTTCGCCTCTCTTTCAATAGGGCCCGGGCTCTAATCCAGAGAGCGACGGACAATTTTTTTCTCTAAAATTTTCTCCTTTCATACCCTTTCCTGCTCTCTAACAATGTTCTGTCGTCTGCTTTTGTCTCC